TTTTTTTTTTTTTTTTTTTTTTTTTTTTTTTTTGGGGGGGGGGGGTTGGGGGTCTCATTCTGTTCCCCAGGTTGGATGCAATGGCATGATCATGGCTCACTGCAGCCTCGACTTCCTGGCCTCAGGCAATCCTCCCACCTCAGTCTCCTGAGTAGCTGGAATGACAGGCGCACACGCCACCAAGCCCAGCTAATTTTTTAATTTTTTGTAGAGACGAGCCCTTGCTGTGTTGCTGAGGCTGGTCTCGAACTCCTGAGCGCAAGCAATCCTCCTGCCTCGGACTCCCCAAGTGCTGGACTTACAGGCGTGAGCTACCATGCCTCGCTGCTTTCCCATCCCGTGCCTGGGGCAGACATAAATAACTAATCATGGTACTCCTCCATAGGCCTGGGAGGGGTCTTACTGGCTAACCCTGCAGCACTTTCACCTCCTGCTTCTCCCTAATGGTTTGGACTTTGTGAAGAACAAAATACACATGTCACTAGACGGATACCCTTGCTCTCTTAGCCTGTTGAAATGAAAAAACGCTAAAAGGAGAGGCCTACAAGATGGCAGCGTAAAAATAATGAGAAGGAAGCCGGGCACCGTGGCTCATGCCTATAATCACAGTACTTTGGGAGGTGGAGGTGAGAGGATTGCTGAGCCTAAGGGTTCGGGACCAGTCTGGGTAACTTGGTGAGACCTTGTCTCTACAATAAATCAAAAAAATTAGCAAGGCGTGATGGCGTGTCTGTCGCTCCAGCTACTTGGGAAGCTGAGGCCAGGGAGATCACCTGAGCCCAGCAGGTCGAGGCTGTGGTGGCCATGAGCATGCCACGGCACTCCAGCCTGGGCGACAGTGAGACTCAAAAATAGGAAGGAGAAAGAGAAGGAGAAGTAGAAGAAGAAGGAAAGAAAGCAAACCAAATAGAATGTGTGATTTAGTGCGTCCCAAAAACTCTCCCAGGCTGAGTTACTCTGTGTGTAGGTAGCTGTGTCATATAAAGATACATCTAGCCTGGGCAGCATAGCGAGACCTCATCTCTACAAAAAAATTAAAAATTAACCGGACGTGGTGGTGTGTGCCTGTAATCTTTGCTACTTAGGAGGCTGAGGCAGAAGAATCACCTGAGCCCAGGAGGTCAAGGCTGCAGTAAGCCGTGATTGTGCCACTGCATTCCAGTCTGGGCAATAGAGTAAAACCCCTGGATACACACACACACACACACACACACACACACACACACACACACACACACACACACACACACACACACACACACATCTTCCCTTCAGAAAAAGTATATCTGGACGTCGTTACTAGCAGAGTTAATTTACTAACTGCCAGTAGAAGCCTCTAAAGCTTTGAGGTTCTAAGTCAAGAGGAAAACTACACATTTTAGAAAGTTGCCTGAATGGATAATACAAGCAAAGTGGAGATGCAGCATCTTTTAAAATGAGAAAGACCAGTCACAGTAGCTCACACCTGTAATCCCAGCACTTTGGGAGGCTGAGGCAGGAGGACTGCTTGAGCCCAGGAGTTTGAGACCAGCGTGGGCAGCATAGTGAGACCTCGTCTTTACCAAAAAAAAAAATTAAAAAATTAGCCAGGCATAGTGGTGCAGCCCTGTAGTCCCAGCTACTCAGGAGGCTGAGGTAGAAGGATAGCCTGAGCCCAGGAGGTCAAGGTTGTGGTGTGTCATGACTGTGCCATGCACTCCAGCCTGGGCAATAGAAACCCTGACTCAAACAAACAAACAAAAAAAGGAAGTGTTTCTGCTTGGGTGTATTATAGTCAAACCTTAGAGTTCACTTACTGGAGGAATAACTTTGGTAGGCGCAGTCCGCAGTCAGCCCAGTGGCACTTACTGCTTTTAACGTCACTGTGTAATCGACGCCACACGTGATGCATCCCAGGAGGCAGTGACTTTGACGAGTGTGACACTTAGACTGTCCAGTGTGTGACTCCAGAACTGTCACATAGGTTTGGGCCGCTGTCCCAACGGTCCAACTCACGTTGACTACTGACTGGGTTATTTGAGTTACTGTCAGTCCGGTTGGGCAGCACGGCACTTCAACAGGAGAGAAGAATAAGAATTGGTTGTTTATTTCCATTGAAGATTATTTGTGACAAATTAGCAAAAGTGGTATTTTGCCTGTCTTGTACTCTATGGCCTCCCTTTCTCAAACTTTCCACGGTTAATCAAGAATTTCCAGCCGGGCTCGGTGGCTCAGCCTGTAATCCCGCACTTTGGGAGGCTGAGGTGAGTGGATTGCCTGAGCCTGCGGGTTCGAGACCCGCCTGGGCAACTTGGTGAGCCCCCATCTCTACAATAAATCAAAAAATTAGCCGGGTGTGGTAGCGTGTGCCTGTAATTCCAGCTACTTGGAAGGGTGAGGCGGAAGGATCACCAGAGCCCAGCAGGTCGAGGCTGCGGTGGCTGGGAGCGGCCACTGCACTCCAGTCTGGGCGACAGAGTGAGACTCCAACTCAAAAAAAAAAAAAAAAAAAAAAAGAATTTCCTTCTAGCCGGGGCACGGTGGTGCATGCCTGTCATCCCAGCACTTTGGGAGGCGGAAATAAGAGGACTGCCTGAGCCCAGGGGTTCGAGACCAGCCTGGGCAACTTGGCGAGACCTCGTCTCTACAATAAATCAAAAAATTTGCTGGGCATGGTGGCGCGTGCCTGTAGTTCCAGCTACTTGGAAGGCTGAATCGGAAGAATTGCCTGAGTCCAGCAGGTACAGGCAGCAATGGCCGTGAGAGTGTAACTACACTCTAGCTTGGTTAACAGAGGGAGACTCTGACTCAAAAAAAAATGTCCTTCTGTTCCTCCCCTCTTTCACATCACATAACATCAGCTGTATACTTGAGTTCTTTTCCCAGGAAGGCACTCGAACTTACTGGCTGTTGGTATGTGAGGTCCCCCTATTTGTTTCCAGAATAAGAAAGAAACCCTTTCTTGTCCCCCAACTTGAACAATTCCAAGCACAAATTTCAAAGCAATGGCTGCTTTCACCCAATAGAACACTTCACAGCATTTGCAACTGTGGGCTTCGCGGTTCTCAAGTATTTCATAGTACATCATTGATATAAAAGCTTGACTTTGGCCGGGCACAATGGCTCACACCTATAATCCCAGCACTTTAGAGGGTAAGACAGAAGGACTGCTTGAGGTCAAGAGTTTGAGACCAGCCTGAGCAACATAGTGAGACCTCATTTCTACTAACAATTTAAAAATTAGCCAGGTGTGCTGGCACACGCCTGTAGTCCCAGCTACTCAGGAGGCTGAGGTGAAAGGAATGCCTGAGTCCAACAGGTCAAAGCTGTAGTGAGCCATGATGATGCCACTGCATTCCAGCCTGGGCAACAGAGTGAGACCCCCCGCAACTCAAAAAATAATAATAATTAAATTTGAATTAAAAAAATAAAAGCTTGCTTTCTTAGCCACCTAAGATACCACAACCATCTCAATTTTTCAGGGACCTTTTATACAGGATATAAAATACCTAGAATCTTGGTGTGTATGGTTGTCTCTCTTCTGCTGCTTTTTTTCCCTAGGAGTTTCAATATTTATAATCCAAAGTGCTCTCTCTCCTTATACCGGGGGTGCCAATGAAATGCATACACATTAAGAGATGTTATCTGTGTATTACTTTTTAAGGTTGAATTGGATGACAACAGCAACGCGTAGTAGGATGTTCATTCAAAAGATAGCGTTAATCAAATGAATGCCAGTGTCACCATGTGACAGACAGAACAGTTCAAGAAAATGGTGGAAGCGCAGTTGTTGTTTGAAGAGCGCAAGACCATTTTGAAGTGGTATTTGAAATTCGAGAATGTTGTGGAAGTCCCATGACCATGGAGGCATGAGTATGCACAGAACCGCCAACACGCCTCGCAACTGCACAAATGCGTGATGAGCATGAGACACGTGGAGCTGTGTGTGATGTGCACAAGGGAAGGCCCGGGAGGACTTGCACAGCAATAAGTCCTGCAGTCATTCCCCGAAATCAGAAGTGTCTGGACATAGCCGGGCGTGGTGGCTCACACCTGTCATCCCGGCACTTTGGGAGGAGGAGGCGAGAGGACTGCCTAAGCTCAGGGATTCAAGACCAGCCTGAGCAACTTGGCAAGAACTCGTCTCTACGATACATAAAAAATTAGCCAGATGTGGTGACTCGCACCTGTGGTTCCAGTTACTTGGAAGTCTGAGGCAGAAGAATACACTGAGCTCAGCAGGTCGAGGCTGTGGTGGCCGTGAGCGTGCCACTGCACTGCAGTCTGGGTGACAGAGTGAGACTCCAACTCAAAAAAAAAATCAAAAAACAAGTGTGATGGTCACCACTTCGAGCACCTCTTGTACTTGCAGAAGTCAAATGTGACTTGTATTCAACTTTTGTTACTGGCATATATTGAGTAGTACCATTTGAATACAGTTTTTTCCTTTCTTAAAATCTGTACAGTTCAGGAAGGGGTAGGGATGGGGAGGGAAAAAATGTGTATAAATTTTTTGGCACTCTCTGTATACAAGAGAAAATAATGTCCCAAAGCTTGAAGCAATTTGCTACATTTTATTCACACACAAGACCCAGTGCCATGAAGCAGTACCAGTTTTCTTTTCTTTCTTTCTTTCTTTTTTTTTTTTGAGTCAGAGTCTCCCTCTGTCACCCAGGCTGGAGTCCAGTGGCACATTCATGGCCACGCAGCCTTGACTTGCTGGGTTCAGACAATCCTTCTACCTCAGCATCTCACTATATTGCCTAGGCTGGTCTCAAACTCCTGGGCTCAAGCAATCCTCCCACCCCAGCCTCCCAAAGTGCTGGGATAACAGGCATGAGCCACTGCACCTGGTGCAGTACTAGTTTTCTTTACGGAGACTTGCCTAGCAGTGGGCTCTGTGCTGCGAGCTTTGCCACATTTCTTTCTTTTTTTTTTATTATTAGAAAATATCGTTTATTTAAAAGTAAATTGGAGAGAGAGAGAAGATTCACCTCCCCAAGGTGGTGGAGGGGGCCAAAGCCAGGAAGCATAGTGACAGCCATAGCTCAAAGAGCACATGGCCACGCCAGAGTCTAGCAAGGCAATGTGAATGGCAGCTCGTGGTTAAGTCCGTTTAGTCATTCCCTTTGATGGGGGAAGGTCATTAAGGTGATTGGGTGGTGGTCTGCTTACATAATCACGAAGGGGCCAGTAAGCACTGATACTGATGTCAGGTGATAGACAACAGGCTTTGCCATATTTCTTAGCCTCACACTGTGAGGCCATCACCTCCCATTTACTGACCAGGAAACTGAAACTAGGAAAGCATTTTTTCTTTTGTTTAGAGAAAGATTTGAAAGGGCTGAGCCAAAGATATAAATAATAACCCAGCTTATTTTGTCAATTGTTTGCTAGCTGTTTTGCTAGACTATATCCTGGGGGAATATAAATTCAAATTTTTTTTTTTTTTTGAGTTGGAGTCTCACTCTGTCACCCAGATGAGTGCAGTGGCTGCTCCCGGCCACCGCAGCCTTGACCTGCTGGGCTCCAGCGATCCTTCCGCCTCAACCTTCCAAGTAGCTGAAACTACAGGCGCGCGCTACCACGCCCGGCTCATTTTTTATTTATTGTGGAGATGAGGTCTCGCCAAGTTGCCCAGGTGGGTCTCGAACCCGCGGGCTCAGGCAATCCACTCACCTCAGCCTCCCAAAGGCGCGGGATTACAGGCTGAGTCATTGAGCCCGGCTTATAAATTCAAAATTAAATGTTGATGGCATCAGTGTATTCCTCCTTCAATGGAAAAATACACTAGAGTCTTTTTGATAATATTTTTGCAAAGCCTGTAAAATATGGAAAGTTTTACTTTCTAAGATGGGGGTTCTCTGAAAAGGTCTCTGAGTTGAATACATGTCCATCACACAGAGGGTAGATTCAATAAGAAAGTCATGTCTGAAAACAATTAGAAAGAACCCGAATTGTTCCGAATACATCTTTGATATAATCAAAATATAATTTTATTTCAATGTACATCATTGAGATAAAAGCTTGATTGTGACCAGCTGCAGTGGTTCACGCCTATAATCCCAGCACTTTGGGAGGCCAAGTTGGGAGGCTCTGAAGTCGGCATTCAGGCTGGTGGTCAGCACCTACCAGTTTCCAGGGCCATACTGTAGCTGGGCAGGCTCCGTCCTGCTTCAGTTTCGGCAATGGCCGTGACAGAGAACATGGACCCGCAGGGTAAGGCCCCCAGGGAGCAGGACTCTCCTGTGCTGCTGCACCGATACAGCCCTTTGTCCCCCTGGGCAGTCGCTGTGTAAGTGGCATCGTTGTTCGTGGGTCGCCAGTGCACAAGAATCATGGCGGAAGCATCCTTTGAAACATTTTTTATTTCAGGGCTGCAGGGAGCTAAGAAATTGTAGATTAGTCATTGAAACAGCGTGAGTCAAAAATATCACATGTATCATTTGGTCTCAAATGGATTATCCCAAGCCGGGCTCGGTGGCTCAGCCTGTAATCCCGTGCCGTGGGAGGCTGAGGTGAATGGATTGCCTGAGCCCGCGGGTTCAAGACCTGCCTGGGCAACTTGGTGAGACCTCATCTCTACAATAAATCAAAAAATTAGCTGGGTGTGGTAGCGCGCGCCTGTAGTTCCAGCTACTTGGAAGGCTGAGGCGGAAGGATCACCGGAGCCCAGCGGGTCGAGGCTGCGGTGGCCGGGAGCAGCCACTGCACTCCAGTCTGGGCGACAGAGTGAGACTCCGACTCAAACAAATAAAATAAAATAAAATGGATTATCCTCCCACTTCCCCAAACTAGATGATCAAGCATGTAAGTCAAATTCATAGTGCCTGTGTGTGGCAAACGGTTGACACTGACACGAGGTACTGGATTCCTATAATATTAGATGAGCTGGAAAATGTTTAAGAGCATTTTGAACTTCAAAAGCAAATAAGACAAACACTTGTACACCTTCATGGTGTGAGTACAGGTCCCTTGAAGGTAGGAGGAACCGGGCCAGACACAGTGACTCATGCCTGTCATCCAAGCACTTTGGGAGGCTGAGGCAGGAGGATTGCCTAAACCCAGGAGGTCGAGGCTGCGGTGACCTGTGATTCTGCTACTATACTCCACCCTGGGTGACAGTGAGACCTGACTCAAAAAAAAAGGAAAAGTGGGAGAAACTGAGACTGCCACTGACAAAGCTCCATGCTCTCTCTTACCCTTCTCCTCTCTCCTCTGCCTCTCCTTGATACAACAGAGGCCCTGTGGGTCCCCTCGAAGAGCCATCAGTGGGCTCTAACCTTTCCCGAGGTCTCACGGATGCCCATCCCAAGGCACCAGGGGCCGGAATCACAACGGGCTGTACCTGTGGTCACGAGTTGGGAGGCGCATGACGTATTGCCACCCCGGACTTCGCTGAATGAATACACCGTGATGTTGTACTTGGTGTCGCACTCTAGAGCCGAAAGGGTGCAGGCGGGAGCTGTGTCGTTGCACTCAACCACGCTGCGGCCATCCACAGCCTTGGTTTCATAGAGTTCAGCACCACGGACGGGAGACCAGACGATCTCCACTCTGTCACTGGACACTAACACGGGGTTGATGTCTCCAGGACAACAAGGAGCTGAAAGCAGGTGCAGAGAGAATAGAGGTGAGAACAGGAACTACCCCAACAGAGAGGATCACCGAGTCCTGCCTCCCCATATCCAGAGCCTATAATCCCCTCCACTACTCGGTGGCCTCCTGCATTGCTGTACAGGTCCAAGCATGGCCTCACTGCCACTGCAGAGAGGATTCGTCCTCAGCATGACATTCAAGGTCATTACAAGCTATGAGGAGAGACTCCAAAAAAGCAGAATCATCTTTTGGAGGACAGACCTCTAGTAGAACAGGCTCCCCCCGCCCCCGCAGGTAAGTGTCCGAGGAACCCATCGGCATCAGTGGACCAGTTAGTGTCGTGGTAAGAGGCTGTGTGACAGAAGAAACATCCAGAGTTGTGGCAAAGAGGTGACTGGTCCTTCCACCATGACAACGCACCTGCCCACACTGCGCTGAGTGTCCAGCAGTTGTTTTTTTTTTTTTTTGAGTTGGAGTCTCACTCTGTCACCCAGGCTGGAGGGCACTGGCACGCTCTTGGCCACCACAGCCTTGACCTGCTGGGCTCTGGCAATCCTTCAGCCTCAGCCTTCCAAGTAACTGGAACTACAGGCACACACCACCATGCCCGGCTAATTTCTTGATTTACTGTAGAGATGAGGTCTTGCCAAGTTGCCCAGGTGGGTCTCGAACCCGAGGGCTCAAGCAATCCTCTCACCTCGGCCTCCAAAAGTGCTGAGATTATAGGCGTGAGCCACTGCGCCCGGCCCTGCATCCAGCAGTTTTTTTAACCAAAAAATCGCATAACCCCCATGCCCCAGCCTCCCTAGTCACCTGATCTCACCCCATGTGACCTTTTTGGATGAAAAAAGTCCTCAAAGGGAAACGTTTTGCCCATGTGGAAGAGGTGAAACCAAAAATGGCAAAAGCACTAAAAGAAATCAAAATGGACGAGTTCAAAAACTGCTTTGAGCAGTGGAGAAAGCATCTTGATTGGATGTATTGCATCAAACGAAGAGCACTTAGACGATGATTGAAGTTTAAACATGTAGAAGTAAAGACACATTTTTAATAAATAAATTCTGACTTTTGGAGGATCCCCCTCGTTAAGCTCAGCCATGCCTTCTCCCAACCGCTACCCCACCAATCTCCTCAATCCCCGTATCCACATGGGCTCTCCTTTTCTATGCCTTGAAGACTGTGGACCCCCCGTACAAGAAAGCCCTCTCTGCCTGACAAAACCATATGCGTAGTCTAAACTCTCAGGTCATGTTCGTCTCTCCAGACACAAAACCGGAAAAGCTGGGAAAAAGCATAATTATGTGAGAAGATCTTTAAAAAGACCCTCGTGGTAGCTCACGTCTATAATCCCAGCACTTTGGGAGGCCAAGATGAAAGAACTGCCTAAGCTCAGGGGTTCGAGACCAGCCTGGGCAATGTGGTGAGACCTCATCTCTTCAATAAATAAGTATATAAATAATTAGCCCGGCGTGGTAGTACATGCCTGTAGTTCCAGCTACTTGTAAGGCTGAGGCAGAAGGATTGCCTGAGCCCAGCAGGTCGAGGCTGCGGTGGCTGTGAACATGCCATCGCACTCCAGCCTAGGCAACAGAGTGAGGCTCCAACCCCCTCTCAAAAAAAAGGACCCCACTGACAAATATCTACCTCAGCTTGGAGCTTTCCTGGGACTTTTTTTTTTGAGTTGGAGTCTCACTCTGTCGCCCAGACTGGAGTGCAGTGGCCACTCCCGGCCACCACAGCCTCGACCTGCTGGGCTCCGGTAATCCTTCCACCTCAGCCTTCCAAGTAGCTGGAATTACAGGTGCGCGCTACCACACCCGGCTAATTTTTTTGATTTATTGTAGAGACGAGGTCTCACCAAGTTGCACAGGCGGGTCTCGAACCCGCGGGCTCAGGCAATCCATTCACCTCAGCCTCGCAAAGCGCGGGATTACAGGCTGAGCCACCGAGTCTGGCTTCCTGGGATGTTTTTGCCTTGCCTACATTCCATTTGCCCTTTAAGATCAAGTTCAAGGTTATATGGAAGGTCAATTTTTAGATCTTTTAGGAATTGCCACATTGTTTTCCACAGACGTTGTACTAGTTTACACTCCCACCACCAGTGTAGAAGTGTTCTAAAAATCAACCTTCCATATGACCCCGCAATCCCCCTGATGGGAATATACCTGGAGAAATTCAAATCGCTCTATTAAAAAGATACCTGCACACACATGTTTATTGCAGCATTATTCACAATAGCAAAAATATGGAACCAACCGTGCTGCCCATCAAAAGAGGACTGGATTTTAAAAATGTGGTACAGGCCGGGCTCAGTGGCTCAGCCTCTAATCCCGCTCTTTGGGAGGACGAGGTGAGTGGATTGCCTGAGCCTGCGGGTTCAAGACCCGCCTGGGCAACTTGGCGAGACCTCATCTCTACAGAAATCAAAAAATCAGCTGGGCATGGTAGCGTGCGCCTGTAATTCCAGCTACTCGGAAGGCTGAGGCGGAAGGATCGCCAGAGCCCAGCAAGTCGAGGCTGCGGTGGCCGGGAGCAGCCACTGCACTCCGGTCTGGGCAACAGAATGAGACCACAACTCAAACAAAACAAAACAAACAAACAAAAAAATGTGGTACATATACATGATGGAATATTACACAGCTATAAAAAAGGACAAAATTATGAACTTTGCAGCAACTTGGATGAACTTGGAGTCTATAATACTGAGTGATCTATCACAGAAACAAAGAACTGAGTACCACATGTTCTTACTCATAAGCGGACCTTGAATAATTATCATAATAGTATAAGAAAGGCATTGGCAGTGGTGGGAAACTGCCAGGGGAGCTGAGGGGTGGGAATGACAGTAGTGGGAAACTGCCAAGGATGGTGGGGGGCACACCTCAACAACAAGGGTACCTGTATAATGAGCATTTGTATGCCTAACGCTGAACTGTACCCCACAGCTTTAAAATAAAAAAATGTTTAAAAATAAAAATTAAAAAATAATTATATTATCACATTACAAAAAAAAAAAGATCAGGCCAGGCTCAGTGGCTCAGCCTGTAATCCCAGCCCTTGGGAGGCTGAGGTGAGTGGATTGCCTGAGCCCATGGGTTTGGGTTCGAAACCTGCCTGGGCAACTTGGTGAGACCTCATCTCTACAATAAATCAAAAAAATAGCCGGGTGTGGTAGTGCACGCCTGTAGTTCCAGCTACTTGGAAGGCTGAGGCGGAAGGATTGCTGGAGCCCAGCAGGTTGAGGCTGCGGTGGCCGGGAGCAGCCACTGCACTCCAGTAGGGGTGACAGAGTGAGACTCCAACTCAAAAAAAAAAAAGAAAGATCAAGTTCAAGGCCATTCCCTCTGGAAGTCCCACCTATGTTCTCAGGACCTTATTGATAACCTCTTACTCCAAATACCAAAGGTACCAATTTCTCAGATTCTTCATCCTGGAAATTTTTCACTATAATTCAGCTATTCCTTTCTTTTTGAGTTGGGATCTTATTCTATCACCCAGGTTGGAGTACAGTGGCATGTATGATCACACCTCACCACAGCCTCGACTTCCTAGGCTCAGGCGATCCTTCCACCTCAGCCTCCCAAGTAGCTGGGTCTATAGGTGCAAGTCACCACACCCAGTTCATATTTTTGTAGAGATGAGGTCTCGCCATGTTGCCCAGGCTGGTCTAGAACACCTGGGTTCAAGTGATCCTCCCGCCTCAACTTCCCAAAGTACTAGGATTACAGGCGTGAGTCACTATGCCCAGCCCTGCTAACACTTTTATATAATTATGTTACTCTTATTTTTAATGTGGTTCCTTAATTTCAAACTACTCCATTCGTTGTTCAAAATTTGAGCATCTCCCATAGGTTCCCATGGGCTATATTATAAACACTGAGGATGGAGAGAGAATAGAACACAGATAGAATCTGCCCTGTACAAGATTCAAGTCTAGTGTAGGAGAATAATAGTAACAGTAACAGTGATACTACTAAAAATATTTGGCCAGGCGTGGTGGCTCAAGCCTGTGATCCCAGCACTTTGAAAGGCTGAGGTGGGTTCATTGCCCTGCTAGACTCTGGCCTGGCCATGTGCTCTTTGAGCTATGGCTGTCACCACGCTTCCTGGCTTTGGCCCTCTCCCCCACCTTGGGGAGGTGAATCTTCTCTTTCTCTCTAATTTACTTTTAATTATTTTTTTTTTTTTGAGTTGGAGTCTCACTCTGTCACCCAGACTGGAGTGCAGTGGCTGCTCCCAGCCACCGCAGCCTCGACCTGCTGGGCTCTGGCGATCTGCT